TAATAGAAACTCTGATGAAATGAGTTTTGAAGTGAATACTGGAAGAAGCCTACATTGCTGCAAATGGATGAAGACAGTCTGTTAAAAAATTATTGTGGATAAATTAAGAGATGCAAAGAAAGCATTTCTTTGAACCTAACCATGAGCAGAATACAATGACATCCAATCTTTGTAGTCTCTCATGCCAATAACAATTAATCTATAATTCTAATATTAAATTTATGAGGATTATTATCTTATTGTTACTAATACTTTAGGATAATGTTAAAAACAAATGCAGGTTAATGTTCTGGAAAGAGACTTTGCTTACTGTGTTCTTAATATTTCAGTTGTCTACTGGGGCTAATTTACTATGAGTAGTAAATTTAGAGAGAAAATTTTAGAAAAACAGATTAAGTCATACAAGAGTAACATTTTCTTATGTGGGTGTCCTTTGATTGGAAATAATTATCATAAATATCCGGTCTCAGCCCTAGTTTACCTAGTGTGGTATTTGATGTTTAATTGTTTTCTCTTATATCTGTGTCTCTGAGATGTCCTATATTAAAAGATTGTGAGTAATAAGAGGACTCACTTTATTTAGAGTTAAATCTATAATTTCTATTAATACCAAAATTAAAATAAAATTTCCTCCTCATCTTTCATATCCATTCTCATTATAAACAATTTATAATCTTGAGAACTGTTCTTTGCTTCATTTAATCTATTTAAATTTTAAAATGCAATTTATTTATTAGCTCCCATGTAGACTTTCAAACCAGGAGGAAATGTAACTGGCATTCGGGTCTGACAGAATTTTCCTCAGTTAATTGGGAAATTGGCATTTGGGTTTAAAAATTAGATTCTCCTTATTTAAGTACCCGTGAGGCTCTTCCTAAGATGTGACCATTCAGGACCCACTGGCCGAATCCACTTTTCTAATCTGCAGTGGGGTTACACCGGCTTTTGGTGACACTCCAAGACACCGCCACCCTGTGAGATTCTGAAATTTCTAACTCCTGCCTGAAAATTACCATGTACATTCTCGTTATTTACAATGACCACCGGTGCAACTCTGTTCCAAACCTGACCTGCCTTTGTTGGGGAATTTCTGAATCGTAGCCTCTCCTTGTACCTGTGCCCTCATAGAGCTACATGTGTTTTTACATTTCTCTCTTTTTCTTTGTGTTAGGGGAGTACACCATAGAAACTAAATGGAGGGAAGATAATTTTGGACTGGAATGTCCTCTCAAATCCAGCCTACAGAGTATATTTCACATTTGTTTTTAAGTTCTTGTTTTCCTCTACGTGCTTTTCTTTGGAGAGTTTCTGAGCTTCCATATTCAGAAGAGCCATGAGGAGCCAAAGAAAATCCATTATTCAAACTCTTCCTCAGCGAAGTATAGAATTTGACCTTGCTTCTCAGTTATTAACCTGAAAGTTTGTTTCTTTCTTTTTTTGCTTTAAATTTGTTTTTTTTTAATGTATTATTTCCTTTACCAGAATATGCTTAGTAGTTAGTTTACCAACTGGTTTGAATGAAAAATATTTTTGAAGTGTCGTTGACATGTATATTAGATGTACAACATAGTGATTCAACACTTATATACACTACAAAGTGATCACCACCGTAAATCTAACTACCCTTTGTCACCATTCAAAGTTGTTACAGTGTTGTTAACTGTGTTAGCTATGTTGTACGTTACATCCCATCTTATTCACTTTAAATCTGGAGGTTTGGACCTTTCCATTCCCTACTCTTTTTTCCTCATATCCAAACTTCCCTCCGCTCTGGAAGCACCAGATTGTTCCCTGTATCTCTGGGTCCGTTTCTGCTTTGTTTGGTTTGTTTTGTTTTATCTTTTAGATTCCACATGTAAGGAAATCATGTGGTATTTATCTTTCTATCTGACTTATTTTACTTAGCATACTACTCTCTCTTTATTCACCCATGTTGTCACAAATGGAAAAGTTTCCTTCTTTTTTATGCCTGAGTAATATCCCATTCCAAAAAAACCCATATATTTTTATTCATTCATCTATCAACAGACACTTAGGTTGCTTCCTTATCTTGGCTATTGAAAATAATGCTTCAGTGAACATAGGGTACATATATCTTTTCAATTTAGTGCTTTCATTTTCTTCAGACAAATATTAGAAGTGGAATTGCTAGATAGTATGATAGTTCTATTTTTAATTTTTTTAGGAACCTCCATACTGTTTTCCATACTGGCTGCACCAGTTTACATTCCCACCAACAGTGCATGGGGGTTCCTTTTCTCCACGTCCTCACCAACACTTGTTATTTCTTATCTTTTTGATACTAGCCGTTCTGACTGGTGGGAGGTAATATCTCCTATGGTTTTGATTTACGTTTCCCTGATGATTAGTGATGCTGAGCATCTTTTCATGTGTCTGTTGGCCATCTGTATGTTTTCTTTGAAGAAATGTTTATTCAGGTACTCTACCTGTTTTTAAATTGGATTGTTCATTTGTTTTTTGGTATTGAGTTGTGTGAGTTCTCTATATATTTTGGATATTAACCTTTATCACTTATATCATTTGCAAATATCTTCTCCCATTCAGTAGACTGCCTTTTCATTTTGTTGATGTTTCCCTTCTCTGTGCAAACGTTTTTTAGTTTGATGTAGCCCCATGTGTTTGTTTTGCTTTTGTTGCCCTTGCCTGAGGAGACAGATACAAAAAAATATTGCTCAGACTGATGTCCAAGAGCTTACTGCCATAGTTTTATGGTTTCCACTCTTATATTTAAATCCTTAATCCATTTTGAGTTTATTTTTGTGTATGATGTAAGAAAGTGGTCCAGTTTCATTATTTTGCATGTAGATGTCCACTTTTCCTAACACCATATATGGAAGAGATTGTCTTTTCCCCATTGTATATTTTTGCTACCTATATTGAAGATAAGTTGACCATATAAGCATGTGTTTATTTCTGAGCTCTCTCTTCTGTTGCATTGATCTGTGTCTGTTTTTGTGCAAGTACTATACTGTTTTGATTACTATAGGTTTGTAGTATAGTTTGAAATTAGGGAATATGACACCTCCAGCTCTGTTCTTTTTTCTCAAGATTACTTTGACTATTTGGGGTCTTCTGTGGTTCCATACAAGTTTTAGGATTATTTGTTCTAGTTCTATGAAAAGGGCCATTGGTATTTTGATAACAGTTGCATTGAATCTGTAGATTGCTTTGAGTAATATGGACATTTTAACAATACTAATTCTTCTAATTCATGAGCATGGTATAGCTTTCCATTTGCATTATTGTGGAAGTTGCTGAATGATCTCTGTATGTCTTCTTTTTTCAGCCTTTTCCCAATGCATTATTGGTCATCACTAATTATTTTCTATGAATATATTAATCCATATAAGTATCTCTGAGCAATTTCTTCCCCAAAATATAACAGGACTGTCAGGATTGATTTAAATGATAGAGAATGGAAAATGCAGATGTGAGGTTAAGATACAGAGAGGATACATTAGGAAAGTCTTACCCATATGTAAGTAGAGTAATACAAGAATAGAAAGAAAGAGAATGAGACAGAAACAATATTTAAACAGATAATGGCTAAGAATTTTCCAGAAAAAGTAGATACCAGACTACAGATTCTAGAAGTGTAGCAAATTTCAAGCAGGATACGCAGATAAACCCATAACTAGACATATTATAGTGAACCTGCTCTACAAACAAACACAAGGGGAAAATCTTAAAAACAGCCTGAGAAAATAGATTACCATCACGGAAGCAGACTTTATACTTTTAGATTAAATAAGAGGCTTATAGCATGAGTCACTGAGATTCGACATCTTTATCAAATTTTCAGCTTACTTTGGAAACTGGTTGTGCTATTGAGGTTTTTTTCTGAAGCTGAATTTGAGGGACTGTTAAGCAAAAGAAGATTAAATTTATTCTATTTAGCTCCATGGGAGTGGACCAAATTCCAGTGTATTGAGGGTACAAAAAAAATCTATGTAGCATAAGCAAGAGATATCTAACTGCTAAATTGCTAAAACCTGGGGCAGGTTGTCTTAGATGAGAAATGAGATCTCTAATATTAAAGGGTTTAACTAAAAGGCAGATACATAATTCATGATCAAACATTTATTAAGCACCTACCATGTACAAGGCATAATTATAGATTCTAGGTATATATCAATGAATATCCAGTAAGAACATAAAACATAGACATGCCTTCTATGGAGAGCTTATATCCTAGTGCAGGGAGACAGACAGCAAGGTAAATAAGTCAATCATGTGCTATGTTAGAAGATGATAAGTGCTAAGGGGAAAAACTGAATAAGACAAAGGGGATCAGGGGTACCAGGGGAAGGTTTGCAATTTAAAATATGATGGTCAGAGTAGGCTACATTGAGAGGTATTGTTTGGCCAGTTTGAGAGGAAAGAGAGTGAGCTGTGAGGATCCAGCAGTTAAAGGGAACAGATAGGAATCACTTCCAGCTCTATAATTTAGTCGTTATCATATATTTCAAAGTAAGTTTGGAATCTTACCAAGTGAAATTCTATTGATTATTATAAAATAGTAGAAATAAAGATGAACTTCCTATATTGTTTTTATTAATGAAAGCTATTCATCCTCATTATAACATCATAGAAAATTTGCACTTGAAAACCATTTATTCTAAACATTCAAATTCCAGGAAGGATGTTGTACTTTCTGTTGGTGTCTCCAAATTTAGAGATGAGAGCATATAGTTAGTATAAGCTTATTAGAGAACTAGACTGTCATCTTGAGAAGGAGATGTGAAGAATCTTCACAGAGCATTCAGAAGTAGAATTGTAAGTTTATTTTTCAGAATCAGAATGCTTCTCTAAAAAAAGAAAAGCCTACAAACACTTAGATGCTTTGATTCAAAAAAGTCATGTTTGTTTCTGATGTTGAGTTCTGCAGTGCCAGCCATTTGAAGTATAGAGGGCTTTGACATGTGTAGAATGAAAAGCCAAGAATATCTTCCCTGTTAACCTGTAGTTTTGTGTTGCAGGCACACAAAAAGTCCCTTTGGACAATTGAACCCAGTGAAGGCATGGTTGCCCCGGATACTGATGTTCAACTGACACTGACCGCCAACCTGAATGACATACTGACATTCAAAGACACAGTCATTTTGGACATTGAAAATAGTAACACCTACCGGATTCCTGTCCAGGCTTCAGGAATTGGTTCCACCATTGTTTCAGATAAGCCCTTTGCTCCAGAACTCAATTTGGGGGCACATTTTAGGTAGGGAAATATCATGGACCAAGTGTTATAGAAATCACCTATATTGCCTAAGTTGAGCATCACCTCTACTTTGGAAAATTATTTTTTAAGTAAATAGAACTAATCCCCATATTCCCATCTTTACTTTTTCCCCCTCTCGATAGGTACATCAGCCACAAGAAGACATTTCCTGGCCGTAGCTTGGCTTCATTCTCTAAGTGTGTCCCTCTACACGGAAGAGTTAGTTCATAGGAAGTGCATTCTTTTCTCAAACTTACAGTAGCTTCTCTGTGACAGATTTAAAATCCCAACCATGATTTCTCCTCTTTGATTCCAATCCACTGCTAATCCCTGTCCATGAATGCAGAAAATCAGATTCATCTTAGTGGTAACCTAAGTAGAGTATAACTAGGAAGATAAAAATTTATTGCCAATGCATATTATCAGGTATTTCAGGGCCAGGAATTTTTTGGTATTATGTCCTCTGCTTACTTCTGCACCATAGCACCAACAATTGAGGTGATTGCAACTGGTTTCACCTGAAGAGCTAGAGAGTCTAAGTATTTAAATGAAAGGTGGTATAGGATAGACACCTCTGAGCAGAATGATGGAAATGTGACTCTAAGATTGTTTGAGGTTGGATGCTAACAGTGAAGGCTATGCATGGGTATTTATTCATGGTTCCTCAGAAGAGTCACCTGGCTGTCACTAGTCAACTCTTGGGGACCAGTTGAATTTGGCCTGTCCATTGCAATACTGTGAACGGACCTCAAAGGCACGCTCCTGCCTTCTAGTCTAACAGGTCCTGAAATTAAGATGGGATAAACTGTGCTAAGAGAAGATGTGCCTGACAAAAATCAGTCAGGAGCCCTCCCCACAAGCCCATCCACACTTGCTTGTTTCTCTTCCATCTACAAAACATGGCACTTGATTGAAAATACCGTAAGCCAATAGGAATGAAGTAATAGGCAAGTCAGATAGTTGAATTGCATATATTGTTAAAGAAGTATCCAATTATAGTTTTTCTGTCAACTAAATATAAAAATTCTCCTCTCTGCCTGTCTATTGGCTATAAGCTAGGGCATTTTGTAATGCATACTGTGCTTCTATTTCCAAATTTCTTTGTTAAATGCACTTGAATATAATTATAGAAAACAATACACTGCAAACCAGACTTAATTACATGTTCCCCATATCAAATAGCCCAAAGGATATTCTAATGCTTGCCTGGAATTGGAAGGTTAGCTAATAGTTTTCTATGAAATATAGAAGCAAACTGTAGCTTTTAGGTGCCAATTTCTCCTCTGTCTAAATCCTATCATTATTCCCTTTGACATAAATCACGATGCCAATAATCTCCAGAAAAACCATCAAAAGCAAGTGTAGGTGTACTGCAGCCCACTGGCTGTTTATACAAAGTTTTATTGGCCCACAACCATGCCCTTTGGGGTACATATATTTACTGTGGCTTCTTTCACACTACAATGCAGAGTTGAATAGTTGTGATAGACCATATGGCCCAAAAGTTCTAAAATATTTATTATTCAGCCCTTTACATAAAAACTTTGCCAACTTTTTGGGCATAAGGGTCTAAAGAAATACCCATATGCCACTTCTTATGATTGCATATTTTGGGGCAGCTTCCTTAAAATTTCAGGGTTTCTGTTTCTTCAGTATATCATGGGAATAAGTATACTTATTACTGGTTTTCTGTGATGATTGAAAGATATACTGTGAATAAGTGACAGAAACCCTGTCTAGTTTATGAACAGTTTATATTGCTCATTATTTCCCCCCAATGCCTACTCTTAGCCAATGAATCATACTACTAAGTACAGAATCCAATAAGCATGTCCTGTGAGCACATATTTAGGTAGAAATGGTTACACCTGACAACTGGCAAATTCTTATTATTTATCTGATGCTTCAGCTTACTTATTAGATATGATGTCATTTCCTAATGAGGGACAGAGGTGATGAAATCTTAAAGCCTAATGAAATTTAAAACATAAAAAAACAGTTCTGAGATGAGTTTCCTCCCTGGAAAATCCTAAACAAAAACCCATTTGAACCACCTCCAAGATCTTAGAAATCCCAGTGTTTATCAAAGAGTAAAACAATCAGGAAGTCCTTAATAAATATTTGTGGAATAGAAGAATGAATGAACAAATGAATGAATGCATGAGATAGCTGTATCCTATAAAACACACTAGTCTGAGGAAAATGACCAGTTCAGCTGGTGTCCCAGTCCATTATAGTCCCCTTGACCTCTAGTAAAGCTTAGAGGATATGTGTCATTTCTCTTTGAACTTCCCTTCAAATGGAGCCCACCACAAGACATTTCACTCAGTCAGTAGAAATGTACTCAACACAATTTGAAATGTATTTCTCCTCCAGTAGGTATTTTGTTTTCCTTTCACTCCTCAGAGCCATTTCTTGTAAGTTAGAGTGGTTTTCACATGAACTGTGAGTGTGTATCCTGGGGTATGCTTGACCTTCTGGGAAAGAGTGGGGCCTGGTGGAGCTGCTTTCCCACAGCCCCGTCCCTGGTGATGACAACTCCAGGACCAAACCCAGGTGCCTGACTCAAGTCTGTGGACCCTGAAAGTAGATGCTGCCTTGTCCTGTTACTGTGGTAACTCCTGGTAGTACTGCGATTTAGCTGTCCTAATTTTTTTTTATGTCTATTTCATTGCTCACTTTTTAAATATTTGCAGAGTAGTAAATCCCAAGGGTAAGAAGCTGAGCAGAGCATCCCAAAGTTGAGTCCCCTCCATCCCTGTCTCCTCTTTTTCAGCCTGGACACCTATTATTACCCCTTCAAGTTGACCAACAAGGGACGTCGAGTCCAACAGTTGTTCTGGATGAATGAAAATTTTCATCCCGAGGACAAGCTGAGCAAGAAAGGACTGGCTAAGAACAGACCTGCTAAGAACCAGCCCCAGCCCCAGGGCTCCCAGGGCTCCCAGGGCCCGGTGTTCCAGCTCCACCCCTTCAAGATGGAAATTCACCCGGGCCAGACCATCGCTGTAATACTCGAAGGCTATTCTGCTACTCCCAGGGTAAGAGGACAGCACATTTAGAAGCTGTCTTTCTATTAAATAAATCTTAGCTTTACCTATTTCTTAAGTGAGTCCCTTGACATTTATTTGTAGAAAGGATGCGGTTTCTTAAGGATTTTGTACAGCACTGAGTTACCATGGCAGCACCCACTGCCTTCAAGGTTCAGCCCTGCTCAGTTTTCTGTTTGTTTCTAATGCTACTGTGAACTCAACCTTAAAATGCTATTTGAGGCAGGTTCCCCCTCCAGGGTCGACAGTGACCAACCAGCAACACCCTGGTACAGGGACATCCAGCATTCAGCCAAGGCTAAGCCTCCTATTAACGCCTACCAGTATTCATTTCATATTTATTCAGAAAGGATGTTTTTATAGACACTCTCAGCTGCCTCTTCTACACAGGTATCAGGCCATCCTTGGCTCCTTCTCTCTCCGCCTGACAACACAGCAGCACATTTATAGTCATCGTCTTTCTGTGTATCAATAAAAAGGCTGGGTTTATATTCAGCAACTCTGATGTTCCGATCTTATTTCCATTTTTTATATTTAAATTATCACCATTCTGCTTAAAACATTTAAACAGATCCAAACCATTTGTCTGTTTATTCCTGCTCCCTCTTGGAGATCGGAAACCATCAAAAACCTGCAGGAAACTTCCAAAAGCATTTATGAGCCTCTTCTACCTCCTAAGTGCAGACTTTGTGAATGAGAAATGATGCTTACTTGAGCTCCTGCTGGTATCATTAAATTAGGAAGTGAAACTGAACTTTCTCTTCATGAAATAGGAAACAAGAAATTTGTCTCCCAGAAGAGAAGAGGGGGAAGCTGACCCATTTCTTAGTTTCTCTAGGCTCACAGATCACACGTTATCTCACTTACATTGTTCCTCACAGAGCATTTTCAGGTAAAACACATCCTTAGTGCAAAAAAATCAAAGAAAGCTTATTTCCCATTATAGGTATAAATGTGTTCTTTCTCTTTGTTGTTAAGGGATTCAGCCAACTTTCATTGAGTATGCACCACATGACAAACACTGGTAGGCACTAAAGATGCGAAGATGAATAGAAAGCAGCCCCCCATCTCAGGGCACTGACAGCCGGGTGCACATACGCAATGTTATTATCAAGAGTCGACCATGTTTTTAAAGGCATTAACTGAGCTGCTGGGGTTCTAAATTCAGTTTAAGCTTTACGAAAAGCTTCCCTGAATGTTCTTACATATCATGCTACATAACTGAGAAGAGACTTACATTCATTAACATCTGAAACCTGAGCACTCCTCAAAACAAGCTATTCATAGTATAACTTCACTTTGGGTCCTTTCTACTTTATAGAAATGTCATCCCCTTAGGTCCAAGAAATATTTGTTTCTATGGTATGATTTTTAAATATTCAGGTATAGAAGGCAAAATTTTTCCAGCCACAGTTTATGACTGGCTTGGTAAGAAATCATCTACATACCATTTAACTGTAAGCCCATGAAGGGCTTTATCTGCCTTGTCCATCACTGTTTTGTACATCCAGTTCCTAAGTCCTAATGCATAATGCTAATACTATATTAGTATTAAACATAATACTATATATATATATATATATAAAATTTAAATTGATTGCATCCTTACAAGCAGTCAAAAACAAGCCCGTGATTTATCCAGGCATGTTTAACCCATAAGATTTTAATTGCATGGCAAAGAGTGATCCCTGAAATACACTATTTGGAAAAGCGTCCTCTTCCCTGATGTCCCCAGGCTAGTTGTTCAGAATCAGTTTTCTAATTGCTGAAAATTAAGTTTTTTGAGCCATGGCTGTTCCGAAAAGGCTGGTGTCTCTCGTCTACAGATAGTCAAAGAAAGGCTGGTGTGCCACGCCATCATCGGGGCACAAAAGAGAAAAAGCCTGGTGCTAACTGTGAATATCATCTGTGAGTTTATAGCACCACTAATCCAGCTCTCCACCAAGCAGCTTGTATACCGACTGGAGAAGGTCAGTGGCTGTACTGGGAAGGGCTGGGTGTTCAGACTAGGGCTTGGGATGTCCACATTTTCATTTTGGAAGCTCAATTAATGAGAAGCCTGTTACACCCACACCCCCACCAATGTTTTTAAGCTTCAGAAGCCAATATACACTCAACCAAAAAATCTGAATCTAGGCCTAAATTCCTTTGAAATGTAAATTGCTATAGAAATTCTACTTCCATCATTCCTGATGTATAAGACAAAAGTAAAGGGTATTCCAGTGCACTGAAAATGCATTTTAGTCAATCATTTTGCTCTAACTAGGTAAAATAAACATCTCAGTATAGAAAGGGAGAAGAAGGGTAGAGGGAGAAGAAGTATAGAAAGGGTAGAATCACTGATAATTATACTAATCCAAAAAATAGCTACCACTTATTAATTGGTATGTGTAGGCATCAAGCCATGTTCATTGCATGTATTTTCCCAGTTGTTAAGCTACTATATAGATTCCCTAACACTACTTGAGATGATAAACTTAAACTATTTGACCCACACTCTTTAATTTCTGTAGTTATAACATCTACTCCTTTATATGGACATTAAGGGCAAGCCACAAATGGAGGTGGCAGAGGACAGGGGAGAGATGGGAGTGACTGCTGCTTAGGGCAGGGGATTGGGATGGTGATAAGGTAGGGGAGACACCACAGTAGGATTTTACCTACTCTGCAGCAGACTTCCTTCATAGAATTATTTAGCATTCGAAACAGGTATGTATGGAATGCCTCTTCTAAGTCGAGAACTGTCTTGATGCTGCAAATCTGGTGAAACAGCCAGACATAGTCAAAGCTGAGAGACCCACTGAGGTTACAGACTGTAAGCAAACTCTCAAAATTTAGTTGTTTAAAGCATGATTCTAAACAGTGATGTGAAGAAGAGGTATAAAGTGCTGTCAGAGCATCTCTCAGGAGACATGGCCTCATTTGTAAATGTGGTCATAGATGGCCCCCTTGAGCATGTGCCTTGAGTTGAGCCTTGAAGGAAAAATGGAAGTTAGTCTGGTGATAAGGGAGGGGAGCAAACTGTAGGCAGAGGGACCAGCACAGGCAAAGAGCCAAGTTAGGAAAGAGCTTGCACAGAATTGAAAGGCCATCTCAGATAGAATATGCCACGAATGACATGAGGCCCACCTAGAGAAGTGGGCAGGGGCCAGATGAGCAATAGGGACGCCTGTTCTGGCCTCTGAGCTTTGTTCTGGGTGGCTATTGAAGGGCTTCAGGGAGGGAGGGGAGTGACATGATCAGACTTACTCCCTCAAACAGTCACGTTGGCTGCCAAGTGGAATATTTATTAAGGCCTACCACATGCCAGGCGCTGTGTCAAGTGCTAGAGATACAACAGTGAGAATGAATGATTAGCCTCACAGTCAACTGGGAAGACCAAGCACTGAGTAAGCCCGGGACATACAGAGTCAAAGCTAAGTCCTGACGTGGTGTCCAGTCATACGACCAGTCTGGGTGTGCACGTGCTGAACCAGTCACGAGGGAATCAACCAGGACTCCTTTCATCACCTGAAGGCCTGCAGGAGAACCATCAAGACCACTCATTCTAGAAGGGGGCTCCATCATATTTTGTTCTTATTAAATATCTACTGAGCACCACCATGGATAAGGTATTCTGCTGGGAGACAAATAAGGGAGCTTATAGTCAAGTAGGGGAGGTGAGATGTTCAAGTTCACTTCAAATCACAAATAATTTTTGAGCAATTACAGTGTATTACACAGCAAAGAAACAGCAAAACCCTAGCTTAACAGGCCAGTGGGGAAAGTAGACATTGAATAAGTAGAGTAAGGGTCTCGGTTCCAGGCTGCTGAACCGGCTGTGACAGCTCCAGGGACATGTAAGACCACGCACTGCAAGAGTTCCTGCTACAGTTATTAAGCTTGCATTGCTCTCTTTTAAATTCTTCCTTTTTCAAGTAATCTGGAAAAATATTTACTGGCGGCATCTGCACCGAATTTGGTAGCATTATATTTTCTCTAAATGTAGCTATTTGGAAAAAATTCAGTGAATATTTATTAAATACCTGATCTGTGCAAGACATTAGTATATGTTAAATATGCAACTTAATTTCTTATTCAGTTTTTTTTCCTGAGCCCATAAACACTGATAAACATGTGTGGGTAGTGTTCCTTTTCTTCTCTTTATATCCTTAAGCCTTGTTACTATTTTTTTAAAGCAGATTTTAGTTTAAATGTCTATTGTTTGAGTTTATCACTAAAATAAAACAGCAAATATTTGTATTATGGCAATGACTTTTTTTTTAAGGTGCAGGAATATTTAATTTGGGGATAAAAACATTGTTCTCTATGATATTTAAAAGGGGCTTTTTACAACAGTGTTTTGAATTTCCGCAAAGAGAATTTAGCTTTGCAAATGACTTCTCAACTTTGCCTGTGGTGTGAAAGTCAGCTCACATCTACTTTAAGCACATGGGCTGGGCACATAAAGTTCTTCAGCAGGCATCAAAGAACATTTGTTCCTCTTATTACTCCTGAGAAGAGGCAATAAATAAGGAAGGAGGTGGTTTGGAGAGCAAATGGTTATTGGCAAGAATCCTATGAAAGATCCAGTAGATGTTAAAATGGAAGGGATGTTAGTGTCAGGGTTATTAACCAGACATCTACTTACAGTCTTGATTGTCTTATCCATCATACCTGGTGCACGAATAAGTAAATATAGCCCATTATTATATTATTAATGGGAGAGATCTATATATTTTGGAAGACTCTTCATTTTCTAGGACTGCTACAACAAATTACAATATTATCACACATTTGGTGGCTTATCACAACAGAAGTTAGTTTTCTTACATTTCAGGAAGCCAGAAGTCCCAAATCAAGGTGTGAACAGGATTGGTTCCTTCTAGAAGCTCCAAGGGTGGACCTATCCCATGCTTCTCTACTAACTTCTGGTAGCTGTTGGCAATGTTTATTGCGCCTTGACTTGTAGATCCGTGACTCCATTCCCTTCTTCTTCAGTTGCCTTCTCCTTTGTGTTTGTCTTCTTTTCTTATTATAAAAATATTTGTTATTGGTTATAAGGCCCACCCAATAATCTAGGATGATCTCATTTCAACATCATCAACGTAATTACATCTGAAAGTACCTTTTTCCAAATAGAGTCACATTCACGGGTTTCAATGGACATATCTTTTGGAGAGTCACTATTCAACCTACTGTAGGCTCAAAAAATGTGTTAAAATCATGTCCGAATTTCTTAGCAAACTAGATCTAAAATTGTTATGTGAATGCAAATAACTTGGATCTCTTATTCAAAATTAAGTCTCTGGGCCATTTCCCAGAGATCTGATTGAGTAACTGTAGGCACAGGTATGTGCATGTTCAGGAAGCACCATGAATGTGTCTGATGTAAATAAATATGGCAATGACTTTTTGAGTTAAAAAGTGAATTAAGTCGAAACTCCCTGTTGATTTGTTTTTACCCTTCTTTCTTTCCCACCAAATACCACAATTTGAAATCTGTCCAACTACTGTATTTTTCATTATTCATTTCCTTCTCACATTTAAGCCGTATCAGGGACAATGAAGAAATGCAGCTTTATTACCAGCATGTGCAAGAGACCTGTTAGGTGTCAGCATTCAGATTTAGTTACATAACACCAATTATCTATTCTGTCTCCTTGTTTTTGGCTTAAGGCAGTGGATTCGACTGATTTAGTGCATTAGACTATAATGATACCCACTCTGCCTATGGGAAGAACGTTTCTATAACCATTTTCTCACATTGGATCTACTTTATAACTATTGTACCTTTCATAAGCCACAGAGATGAAACCACATCTCTGTGGAATTGAAAAGGTCAATTGAAACTAGCAGCCAGTTTGCTTCATGAAGTCCAGTCCTGCCTCCTGTTATTTGGAAGACAAACAACCCAGAGAGAAGGGGTCATTTTAAAATAGAACAGGCTTTCTGCACATCGACACCTTCTCATCACTAACCTCTAATGGCCTCTTGCCAAAACCAACCAAGCGCGGCTTCTTCACGTCAAAGCTCCCTGCAGTGACACAGCAGCCTAGGGGAAGGTCACTGGGTGCTCAGGTCTCCATGCAGCCTTTGTATGGCCCCAAATTGCTGCTTCATCCCTCAGAGTGTCTATGCCATCTGCAAGTGCAAGGTGAATCCAGGACCCATATCACCGTGTTAGAGGGAGGGTGGCAGTGGCTGGCAGCTTGCGGTAAGTGCTGGGCCAAACCCCTGAGAGAACTCTGGGAGTGCACAGGGGCTGGCGGAGCACCACCGAGGCAGGAGGCACAGGCCAACTCTTCTGGACCGAATGTTTGCGTCCCTCCAAAACTCATATTTTGAAGCCCTAACTTCCAGTGTGATGCTGTTGGAAGTAGGGCCTTTGGGAGGTATTAGGTCCTGAGGGTGGAGCCCTGATGTGCGGCATCAGTGCCCTTAAAAGGCAAGAGAGATGACCTCTCTTTCTCAGCCATATGTGGACAGTGAGGAGACGGCCACCAGCAAGGCAGGAAGCGGGCTCTCACCAGACGCCAGATCTACTGGCATCTTGATCCTGGACTCCCCAGACTCCAGACCTGTGAGGCATAAATGCCTGTTGTTTAAACCACCTAGTCTGTGATATTTGTTGTAGCAGCCTGAACTGACTAGACATGATGGAGACCAGTCACCCACGCTCGCTCAGAGCCAGGAATCCAGGAACAACAGTAGAAGAAAGACTACGGTGGACAAAGAAGCAGAGACAGAATCAGATCAAAATATGGAATTGAGTGGATTTCACTGAACAAGGAAAAATCAAATCAAACAAAGGTGCCTGGGTACAACAGGCTCGAGCTGTTGAAAGAGCCAGGAAATGATTGGAGGGAGGTTTCTTGGAGGCCACAGATTGAGGTTTCTGGCCACCTCCTGCTGATATGAAAGGACCCCCTTCCCAGAGCACATGAGAAATAACGTGGATCCCAACATCAGAGTGAAAAAAAATCCCATCTGTCCAAAAACTCCAGCTTGAGATCCATTTCTGATGCTTTCTCCAGTTGTAAATTAAATTTTCTATGTCTAACAGAGTGCAAAGATGCTTCTAAATCAACTGTCCCAGTGTTATCGGGAAAAATTTACAGGAAATAGTTAGGAACTTTTGTCAATATAAAAATATAAATGTACGTATTTTTACAAATTTGACATTTCAAACATGGAAAAAAGCATTGTATAAGAAAAAATGTTTTATTCATTATAATGATACATGGGCTTCTCTACATGGTATCACTAATTTATTAGACTTTGTTTGATGACACTAGAAGCTTCTATGGGAAGAGTTTTATCCAGAGGAATGGCTTATATAGGTTTTTAAACCAGACAACAGGAGAGGAAGAAATCTAATCTGTTTCCTGGCTTCTGTAGGCTCACTCTTCAGTAGTCCACCAGACATTCCAAATGATTTATCAAAATCTCTACAAGTGAAATATATATATAAACAGACAGACAGAGACAGAATCTAACACTAATTCTGCTGTTAACAATAAATGTGAGATTTTTGTTGCTACAGGTTTACAAGGTTTACCTTAACTTGGTTTGTCCCTTCTTTTTCCTTTTTTGCAGAAACCTAATTCTATCCTAGAACCGGATTACCAGCCTTTGGTCGTGAAGAACATTTCCACCCTGCCCGTGAGCATGTTGCTCTCAGCAAGCGGACCCTTCTTTGTCTGTGAGACTGATAAATCTCTGCTGCCATTAACTCCTGAGGTAATTTGACAGAAGGCTGTCCTAACAGGCTCCTAGCTGTGCTGCATATGTGGTAAAGGAAAAGAGTGATACCTGTACCTAATGTCAGCCCAGAAAGATATAAAGAGTCCAGGAAACAAAGAGGAAAGAACACAGAAAATTTTAAATGAATTATAAATAAATTCCAAGACTGATCAGTAGCAAAGCTATTTTTAATGGTGTAAAGAACTTCCCTTTTACTCCTGCCCATGAAAATGAAGCTTATCCTTAGAAAACAGTAATTTTCCACTAATGATAGTAAAGATCTTTTAATTCCCTTCTCTCACATCTGACCAAAACTCCATACTCAAGGAAATGAGGAAATAACTAAATCCCCATCCCTTAACCAGCTAGCCCATCTCCAGATACTGAGAAATCTGAACTGGGATGAGGGAGGAGGCAGTGAGATTATCAGGCCACCAGTCCAGGGCAAGGTGCCATGTTCTGTAAACACCCCGTAAGATCATCGCCATGATCTTTTGCTGGGCATGAGGATGCCAGTGGTGATAACTGGGCAATGGAGCGAGTGGCACTGCAGAGCTATAGAAAAGGAGCTTTAAAGGAGACACCAGCTCTGCACACCTTCATGTTCAACCTCCCAGTCTAGGGAGACATGGTACAAAGGAGGAAGGCTAGGCAGGCAGCAATCAGGAGCTCTCAGAAGAGGGAGCCCATGACTAAGGAGATTTGCTGTGAGCCACGCAGGGAGATGGGCTTTGGAGGAAAGTGGGGACAGAGCCACTTGGTGAGAGGGTGTTGTAGGCAGTACCTGAATGGTGGCTGTCAGACTGCACTGTGCCCTCCCCTGCCCCTCTCCACGGATTCTTTAGTGGGTCTCACTCAAGCATGAACTGGGAAAAAATCAGCCAAGATCTTTGAACAGAGGAATAAAAGGAGGAAATGATCATAAACCAAGAGTCAGATGAAATCCTACCTCAAGGGAACCTACACAAGCAAGATGACCAAAAATATAAGCACATAGTTCTCTATATTCTCAGATTATAGATCATATGACCTGCCTTTAAAAAGAGCTCAGAGATGGGATGTAAGTGTTTAAAGAGTAGATAAAAAGTGAACTCACAGAGCAGAGGAAAATAAATGGATGAGAAAATGAAAATTCAGACATGAGCAGCTTTCTCCATCTGGGTGGTAGATAAGACCCACTCTTGTCCTTTCTGAAATCTTAATAAGATAAAAGTAAAATGTTAAGAAGGAAAAAATCCCAGAGCAATAAAATAAAATAAATAAGATAAAAGATGGGTATAACCAAGTAATGAGAGACTTAACAAACTCTAGAAGATAGAATGAAGATGGAGTAAGTTGACAAAAAAGCACAAAAACTGGCTTGTTTTTGTCCCAAGACATAAATATAAGTGCTCTTACCCACCGAAATTAATCAAAATGTCTAGGGAAATTTAATATTTCTAATATCAGTGTTGGCACCCCAGAGTAACCCCTGGTATCTGGGATGTGTCCACCACCTAATTATCATTCTCTGCCCAAAGAAGCTGTAGACCAGCCCTACTAAAAGAATTAAGAAATGGTGGCTTCTGGATTTTTGGGGTGCCAGGTTGGGTCAGGAACTGTTGTTTCTTAGAATAAGTTTTAGTGCAGTTTGACTTTTTACAATATTTGCATGTATAACTTTAATAAAAAGCATGCATGTTTTTTAAAAAATAAAGAGCTTCTACAAATCAACAAGAAAAACACCAACAGCCCAATAGAAAAATAGGCAAGGAAAATGAACAGTTTGCAGAAAGAAATAAAATGCCTCTTAAATATATGAAAATATGTTCAACTCTAATCATATTAGAGGAAATGCAAATTAAAATTAGTGTGAAACATATTTTTCCCCTATCAGATTGGCAAAAATTAGCTAGTGCTCTGTGTTAGGGAAGGAATGTGAAAAAAGGTGCTCCCCTATAGCGCTGGAGATGTATACATTGGAAAGCAGTGTGGCAATAGCTATCAGCATTTTAAATACCCACACCCTTTGGCTTAGTGTTCCATCCTATAAATTTATCTTACAGACATAGACACAATTTACAAGGTAACACATATACAAGTATATTCCTTTCAATGTTGATTTTAAGAGCCAAAGATTGGGAGCTAATATCCACCAACAGGAGACTGGTTAAATAGGTGATGGCAGAATTATGTGATGGGATCAAATGCAGCTATTAAAAGAAGGAGACAGCTCCAGATGCACTGATGAGTGATCTCCCAGCGTAAAAAGCAAACTGCAGAGCAAGAGTGTACAGTACACTACCTCTCACATGTGTAAAGAATAAAAGAGTGCACATATGAACATGATTTTGTATCCACACAATATCCTCACAAGGATAAACAAGACGCTTGTAACCCTGGTTGCCTCAGGGGAGGGGAATAGTTGGCTTGGCTAAGAGGAGAGGAGATGGGCACAATGGGGTCTTGCCTTCCATTGTCCTATCTATTCAAAAATAAAAAAGATTTTTTAAAATAAGGCCATACTTGCCCTAGGACAAAATAATACAGGATATTCAGCTTATATTACTGAAGGTACTCTCATGTAACCAAAGAATTCTGTGACTTCTAAGTAAAAAAGAAGAGACGCATCAAAGGAAGATTTTAGACTAACCTCAGACTTCACAACAGTACTCAATGCAAGATGATAACAGAGCAGTGGCTGCAAAGTCTTGAGGGAAAGAGTGATCCAGGAATTTTACCACCAGCCAAACTGTCCTTTGAGTGTGAAGGTAACAGGCAGACATTCTCAGGCCACCAGGGGCCAATGAATGAAGCACTCATGCCGCCTTGTTGAAAAACTGATTTGCCAGTGAATGACAACCACTCAGGGAAGAAAAAGATTGGTCGGAAGCCCTGGATCCGTTTGGCTGTAGAACTGAGACTACACAACTGTGGTGGTTATGATTTCAGAACAGAATGTTTCAAACCTCAGCTTTTAAAAACTAGCACTCTAACCAATAAAAACCTGGAGGTGAGGGAAGCATAACTGCTAATTTCATCTCCTTTTCCAGCTGGGTGTCAGTAGGATGCTGTCTCAATCTGAAACTGATTAATACATAACCATCTTTTTTCTTAATCATAGAAGAATAATAGCAGTAATTGGCATTTCTCTACCATACCCTATGTACCAGGCACTGCCCTGCACACATCACATATATATTAACTCATTTTATCCTCTTAAAAAGAGATAGGTATTCTCATTAACCCTACTTTACAGATGGAGAGACTGAGGGCTAGGAAGGTTAAGCAATGTTGCCCAAACTCATAGAGCTGGTAACTGGCAGAGGCAGGATTTGGATTCAGTCAGCCTGGCTCCAGAGTCTATGATCTTAGGATTAATATCTCTTGTATAAGAATTTTTTTCAGGGTTTTTTTTTTGAGAAAAATTGCAAACGTGACATTTTTAAATAAATTAGTATAGTCTAATTCCATTTTTGTAAAGTTGTAGCCATCCACTATGTCTGAACTAATGTTTACAAAATGTTAACTCTGAGAAATAATATAGGGTGAAATTTGGGGTGATTTTCTAATTTCTTCTTTGTGCTTTTATACATAATGTAAATCTTTATGAATGTGTATCATTTCGACAAAACAACAAAGTCATTCTTCTGGGGGAAAAAATGTTTAGGTCAATCTTGCAAGATATGTCAAACACCAAGCACGGCAAAACCCAACTGCTACAGAAGCCACGGTTGTCAAGAAAGGGTTTTAAATTGTGCCCAGCCTCCTGAACCAAGCACCAGCCAGACTTTCAGATGGAATTAGCCAACTCAAGAGTCACTGCTCGCTTTCTCATTCGGGAAGCAGGGGCTTGGCTTTATCAACTGAAATCATCTCATCATGTCACCAAAGTGCAGTCAAATCCCTGAACCTTAAAACTCAGTGGAGAGGGAAGTGCTCTGTAAAGGACTCATTCCTGTGTGCATTCCTCCCAAACACCTCGCGAGCACTTTCTGCAAAACCAAGAGGTTGGCTGTCATGTGATTAAATATGGGGATTAGGCAATTCCTAAAAAAACACCAACTCACAGCCAGGCTTTCTATTGGAAGGTGTTACAGTGGCCTTGACATCAAGGAACACATGGGGATTTGACTCAAAGAGAGAAAGAATAAACAAAATCTACTGAGCAAACCCTGTATAGCTCAGGAGTGTCATTTTAAGTTCAATAGAAAACAGTGGAAAGTGGATAACAGTGTGCTTCAGAGTTAGAATCACAGACATTAGAAAAGACATTAAATTTAAATTACCTAATCCGTCCCTTTCTGGGTCAGCCTCTACAGATCCCTGCCCCCAGTACTTTAGAAGGCTTTTTTAAACATTTCTTAGGCAAAGAACTCTTCCCACTTGTCTAGGAAGAACGTTTTACAATCTAATTTATTTTCAGTTAATACTATTTTATAATATTTATTGTAGACTTTCCTTTTACAATTTCTTAATCCTTATTACCTCAAAATTATTACCAAATCTCTTCCTTCAAATGATTCCTCTCTGGATTTTCCTCGCTTTCATTTTCAACTAATAGAATATAAATGTGTACATATATATTATGTGGTGATATATACATATATATATATATGTAGATACAGATACACCTGCTATTTAATTATGCCAAAGTGTAGATACATAATTAGGGATAAATAAAGTGTGTGGATATGATGCCCCAGAAAGGGCTGGATTGGGCAATTTAGTCTGTTGGTGTGTGTGCATCTGTGTGTGTGTATATATACATAAGTAGATATAAATAACTTCAGCTGTCCTGTTTCATATATCAGGTCAGAGGTTGGTAATTCCCCCTTATCTTGTTTGTAGCCCATTAAACTGGAGATTGGGGGAGAAAAAAACCTGCTGGTCAAATTTGACCCTTACTACAGAAATGATTTGAACAACTGGACAGCAGAAGAAATTCTAGCCATCAAGTATGTGGAGCACCCTCAGGTAGACAGCCTGGCCCTGCGTGGAGAAGTGCACTACCCCAACCTCGGCTTTGAGACTATGGAGCTGGATTTTGGCTGCATCCTGAATGATACCGAGGTGATCCGGTACATTACAGTCACCAACTACAGCCCCTTGATTGTGAAGTTCCGCTGGTTCTTCCTGGTAGATGATGAGGAAAATCAGATCAGGTAACACCCACATGCCATCTGCAGAGCCCTTCTCTGCTGTTCATCCTCCTCTCCTTTGGGCTTCTCACCGGGTTTCCTGTGTTCTGTGCTCACCTTTTTCATGAATACTTTCAGTCCTGACAACTCACTGTCAACACAAGGAACAAGGAGCCTGAAACCATCATTCACCCTAGATTTCCAAACAGGACAAGCAGATAAAACATCTTTGAAAGCCACAGTCACTACCAGATGAGCCATAAGCCCCCTTTAATTTTGAATCTGGTGGTTGAATCATTAGAAATTTGTCACTAAAAAATAGTCTTTGTAGAGTTTTCCTAGTAAGCATCTCAAACCCAACACATGACATGAGGGTTACACTCTATTGAGTAAGTGCTACACTGAGCTCTGTGTTCTGTATATTCGGGTGGCTTTCGTTCTGACCCATGCATGCCTTGGGTACCAATGTATCCATATGCACAAAATGGTGGGAGGTGGTGAGAGCTAAAAGGGAAGAGCTGTCTTCCCAATATTGGGTTTAGAAGTGTCTCTCTTGTTCAATTAGAAGCTAAATCCTAACTTAGTTTGGAAAATACTCTTTTAAAATATATATATATATACATATATACACAGAGAGAGAGAGAGGCAGCCTGATTTAGTCAGGCCTCGGTAACGTTTTCATCTGGGTCAAAGCCTCGTTGGCAACCAGGACTAGCAGGCTTCTGTGCATTTCCTTACTGGATGTCTGGACAGCTGGCTCCGTTGTCAGCACCTGAACATTGAGTGGTCATTCTGAATAGGGGAGCCTCCTGTTGTTTCCCCGGCTTGTCGGTACTTCCCATTGGCAGCCCTATTGTACATGACAGCCGCCCTATCTTCCCCTCGCTTGTTACCACGGTAACGACAGCTTGCTCGGGATGTCTTCCATAGACATCCAATGATAACCCAGCACAGCACCAAAGCCAGGTCTCAGCCTGGGCAGTGGAGCCTGTTCATTAGGTGCCAGAGACTGTTAGGTTTGGGGTGAAATTCTGCAGATGGTGAACATTTAAAATCATTATGGAAAAATTAGCCAACCTGGTCTAATGAGCTTCGAACACCAGATTCTGTGAAGTTATTCTAATGTAACATAGCTAAATGAGTTTATTCCATCTAGGGACAAGGGAATGCTTTATTTATTTTTCATTTTTGAGACTCCATTTCTGCAGTTAAAATAACGACACCTGGAAAACATACTTGTACAATACTGGAGATGATACACTTAAGTTTTCATTGGTTTAAGCATTTGTTTAACCACTGTTTTCCTTTCTCCAGTATCTTTCTGTATCTTGACATTGAGCTCCTGCTTATAATTCCTTCATTCATTTAGAAAACATTTGGTAAGTGACTCTCATGCACCAGATAATGTGTGAGGCGTCAGAAATGGAAAAGTGAGTAAGACGTGACCCCTGGCCTGCAGCTCTTGGGGAAGCAGATGTGTAAACCAGGTGATAATGCCAGGCTCCGAGGAAGGACAGAGGGGGATGCCTGCTCAGAGGAATCACAGAAGGGCTGCATGAGAAACACAGTTAGACGTCCCAGACGGAGGAGCAGGGCAACACCCCAAGCAACAGGAATAGCATGTATGTATTCGTTAGGACTCAGGGATTCAACTCTGTTGCAAGTGACAGGAAACCTGACCCTAAGCAAAAATGAAAAAGAAAGGACATTCCCTGGTTCCCACAGTTCAGAAGTCCAGTTTCCGTCTGGTTTCTGGCTGGCTTACAGCAAGGACACAAACTGTCCCTGGAGTCAGTATCTCAGCCTCTCAGGTCCGCTCTCTTTCATTTGTTAGCTGAGTTCTCAGACCAGCTTTTCTCCCATGGCCCCCAGTGGCTGTGGCCCGTCCTTGCAGATTCTGAGTCTCCGTACCAGAGCTATCCTGAGATTCACTCTGGTCCTACCAACTCAGCCACGTTTCTCTTCCCCTCCCCGGCCAGTCCCTGTGAGGGGAGGGCGAAGCGCTGATGGGCGTTGGCCTGGCCACGTGCCCCCCACCCCAGTGATGCCAGGGTTCTTGTTTGCAGAGCCGAAGAATGAGCTTCACAAACAGTCAAGGTAGGAGAGCAAAGTACAGGCTTTTATTTAGAGATAAAGTGAAAGGACAGAGCTCCCGGCTCACGCCAGGAGCGGACAAGAGAGTCTGGGGTGGTGCGTTGTCTAGGGGTTTTATAGGCAGTTGAGGATTTTTCGAGAACGTGAAAAAGAGTTTAGGGGTGTGGACTTGTTAAGTGGCCCCTGAATATTAAAAATTAACTTAACATAGGAATTTCCTGCCTTGATTTCTCTCTGGGACACCGCGCCTGGGTCTGGGAGCATATCGAAAAGCTGCCTGCCCAGCCCCCAAGGAGGGCCGAGGTATTGTCTACTAGCTAAAGAATCTTGCCTCTTGAACTTCCTGGGTGTTAAAATGCAATCTTATCTTCGAGATGGAATTCTTCCTGCGCTTTACTATGCCGTCTGCAGCTGGGTCTGCAGCTAAATTAGTTGCTCAGTTTGCAGATTCACCTCCTCAGATCCGGAGGAGGAAAGACAGCACCTAGGCCCGGGCCTTTCAGTGCCAAAGTGAATCTTACACATGGTTACAAATGTTTAGCATAATAAAACGTGTGCTACTCTTCTTTATCTGGGGAACATGAACTGATTTCACTGAAGAATGATTCTAGAGCTCAATGTTAAACATAGAGTTTTAGCAGGGGGGGTTTCCTTGCATGTAGTTGCATTGCTCTGACTGCAAATATCCCTCCCTGCCCCCTCCAGAGGCCCTCACCCTACTCTGACTACATCCATGGTCCCTGTCTCACCAGGCCGCAGTGGTGACCGCAGAACCCTGTGGACTGAAAGTGATGGGAGTGGGGCTGTTCTCTGGACAAACATTGACGAGTGAGGGAATGAATGCTGGTGTGGCAGATGGCACACGTCCACCCGTGTCCACGGAAGCTGCATCAGCAGGGCTACAACGTGGACTTCGCTGGTGGGGGAGAAGCCAGGGAGCAGTGTAAGGGGTAGATGGCAGCAGGGTGAGAAGCCTGATATCCATGACAAGGGTACAGACCCTTGGAAGCAGTAGTGAGATGCGTCATCTAGACAACGACAGAGGCAGGTTTTTTCAGAAAGACAGCTTAGCAGCATTCAACAGAGGTGCCCAGTCCCTCCTTCCCGAAACCCTCTCCTTTGTTGCCATGAATAGCGCTGTGCTCTCCTGCTTGTGCTCTTACCCCCTCCACTGATGGCCCCTCCTCAGCGCTCGGCCAGCAGCTGTGCTGGTGCAGTCGGACACGGTTCCGTCCTGGGCCTCTGCTCTTCCTGGCGATTGCACTCACCCCACAGCTTTCAGTCAGCCCTAAACTCAGCCTTTCCCCCTGCCCCCTCCCTGCCTCTCCTCCAGGGCCCCCTGTCCCAGCAAAAGGCACCCCGAGTCCCTCCTGTCCCTGACCCCACCCATCAAACCCATCACCAAGTTCTACCTATTCTGCCTTCTATAAACCTCTCATCACCATTCCTACGTTTGTTACCTAATTCAGGTCACCCTTGCCTCTTGCCAGCACCATTGTGACAGCCTCTCACTGGGTTCTCTGCTTTCCCTGACGTGCCACAGTCCATCATCCACGCAGTAGGCAAATACTGAGCGTGTCACTGCCCCGGTTTGCAGCCTCGCTTATTGGGAGAAAGTCCAAACTGCAGTCTCTGTTCCGCAAGGCACAGCACGGGCTGGTCCCACACTCCTCCCCAGTCACTTCTCACCTCCCTGTCCCCTCGCCACACCGGGCTCCTTCCTGTTTCCCTGCCATGCTGGCCTCTTTCCTGCTGCCGCTCTCTGTGCTGGAGGCACTTCCCCACTCCTCACCTAGCTAGCCCCCTGCTCCTCACCAAGTCTCAGTGGACGTGTCCTTCCCGAGAGCCTTCCCCTGCCCCCTGCACCAAGAGCCCCTGTCTAGGCACTGTAGCCTGTCTCTCAGTGGCTCGTCACACCCATGGTGATGGCTCAGGGTCCAGCTCCCCAGCCTCATGAGGCCCGGGAGCATGCTGGTCGTGTTGCCTCTGTATCCCAGAGCCCAGGACAGCCCATTGCACAGAGTAGGTCCTCCAGGGGCATTTTCTAGCTGGTCCACTGCTCCCTCGCTGGGCATTTGTAGTGAGAGGAGAACTGTTTCATAACTGGTTTAAGATTCTTTTCGGTCAGCTTCCTGGCACCTGCCAAATGGAAAGATTCATAAATGTCACCTTGAATAGAAAAAAAAAATGTCACTTGCATTCCAGATAGGCTCTTTCTGTGCAGGCCATCAGAAACACAGAAACTGCTCATTGGCTAAAGGTCACTTTTATCAGATATACCAACACTAACCTTTCTTTTCCAATTAGAATTCTTCTAAGTCTTCCAGTTACTCAAAGCAAAAAAAAAGCATAAAAGAGGGTTTTCTTCTTCTTTTCTTAGGCAGGATATGAGGATGTCTAGCCATTCAACAGTCCTGCTGGCATACACTTGTCTGTCTGCCAGATGTGCGCGCATGTGTGTATGGGAGTGACTGCCTGTGTATGTGTGTGGCTTTGTAGGCAATTCTGACTCCAATGTTTAGAGTATCTCCCTCATTTGAGCATATTTTTTTTCCAGTTTGGCCTTCATGTCACATACAAGAAAGAAGTAGAATGGGCAAGCATGTTCAATTAGCACTCTGCAAGGAATTGCCTTAGAAACCTGCTCAGCTTTGAGCACTCACGGGCATGACAGGGTTCTAGACTGACTTCACAGATGACAGACTGCGCCACTCATGCACAACATGTAAGGAGGAGGCTGGGTTGAGATCTAAGTGCCGGCCCCACTGGAATCTGCTCTTTCCTGGGTCTGTCTCTGGCCCGACTGCTCAGCTGGGTAAGAACACGATGCTTCATGGCATGTGTGTGAAAGAGGAACCTGGGGAGCCCTCCCCTAAACCAGCCTTTACTTGTAAGAGGCCAGAGGAGGCAAGCGGATGCTGGCGTACCCG